CAGCCTCCCAGAATGCTTGGATTACAGGTGTGAGCCACCGTACCCGGCCTGAACACAAGTTCTGATTTTGATTTACACAGCGTCTTCCAGACTTGCATGTGCCATTGCGTCCTCCTGAGTTGAGCCCAAGATGGGGGAATGCTGTCCTCTGAGCACCCCGGCCACAGAGCTGTGTAGGGCAGGCAGGCCTGAATCATGCGGGGCCTCTTGAGCCTCTTGAGCCGCTCGTGACACGGCGAATCATTAACCCACTGAGCTGGATTTTCACAGACACGCCTTTGACCATGTATAATCAACAGAATGACCTTCAGCAAGTCACTGACATTTCCTGAAAGCCCGTTTTTGCATCTGAGAGGCAGGAGTCATGATCCAGAGTGTGACAACAGAGAGGACAGGTGTACGGTGGAGCCCCTCGGGAGGAGGGGACATGCTGCTTTCGTTCTGTCACCGACAGGTGGACCGATGCCACCCCACAGAGTAAGCAACCACACTCAACCATAAAAGCCCAATGACTGTCCTTTCATGAGCTAGCCGGAAGTATTCCTCTGGTTTTTGGGGGTTGGGGTCTCACTCTGTTGCCCAGGCTGGAGGGCAGTGGCATGGTCATGGCTCACTGTAGCCTTAACCTCTTGGACTCAAGTGATCCTTCCACCTCAGCCTCCCAAGCAGCTGGGACTACAGGTGCATGCCACCACGCCCGGCTACTTTTTTGATTTATTGTAGAGGCGAGGTCTCACCAAGTTGCTCAGGCTGGTCTCATACCCCTGGACTCAGGCAATCCTCTCTCCTCAGCCTCCCGAAGTACTGGGATTACAGGTGTGAGCCACTGTGCCCAGCTAGTTAGGAGTATTCTAAGGAATACTCCAGTCATTCTGGTCTTGGAGTTACACTTGTCTGCACTGTGGATCATGTGAATTATCTTCTAATTTCTTCTCAGCTCAAGGGTCAGGAGTCTTGGGGGATGGGCCTAGGGGTGCTGGCACAGAGCCAGCAGTGGGGCCTGTGGCCGACCAGGGCTCAGGGTGATGTGGCACCCGTTGCATGGCCAGCAGCCTCTTCCTGCAGGGAAGGCAGATCATGTGGCCCACAACACCAGGTGAGCCGGCAAGGACAGCTGATGTGGTCAAGACGTCCTGCAGTGGATGTCTTCCCCAGGGGCGGAGCTTCCATCGGATCCCAGGTTAGCTGTGCAGGGCCAGGCTCCGCCTACCAGCCCCACTCTGGCCCCGCCCACCTCTTGGCATCATTGAAGATGTCTGCCTCTGCCTAGGGGACAATTGGAATTAGGCTTAAGGGCAGGACACCATATGTATCCCCAGGGCACCCAGAGCTGAGCACGGACCCTCTCCAGCCATGGGGGGAGGCGGGGAGTCGCTCCCAGCCTGCTCGCCCACCCACCCACCCTGCGCCTGGGAGATTCCCTGAGCCTGGGAGACGCTTCCATGGCAGCTGCACTTTCTCTCCCACTGATCCAGCCTCCTGAGTTTTTGCTCCCAAAGCTAAACGCTTCCAAGTCTCCTGTTTTCAAAGTAGCTTGACTGGACCGTCTCTCAGAAGGCTGTTTCCTCACTGGTGGGAGGAGGGGGTAGACTGGACCCTGGCTACTCAAAGTGTGGTGCATGGACCGGCAGAAGCAAGAGTGGGGATGGTTGCTGCATACGGGAGCTTCTTGGAACTGCAGAAAGTCTGGGAGGACCACTCAGGTGATGCTTGGGCCCGTCTGGTGGCAACACCATGATTCTGAGGTGTTATGAAATTTTGTGTGGCGCAAACATGTTTTTATGTGGACAGTGTGATGAGAGGACACACAGGGCTTCGTTTTAGGACAGTCTTTTTTTCTTTTAAAGAGATAAGGCCTCACTATATTGCCCAGGCTGGGTTCAAACAATCCTCCCACCTCAGCCTTCCGCAGCGTTGGAACTACAGAGGCGCACCACCACGCCCATCAGGAATTTATTTTCTTTTTTCTTTTTCTTTCTTTCTTTTTTTTGGGAGTTGAGGAGCTCGCTCTGTGGCTCAGGCTGGAGTGCAGTGGCATGATCATGGGTCACCACAGCCTCGACCTCCTGGGTTCAGGCGATCCTTCCACCTCAGTCTCCCAAGTTAGCTGGAACTACAGGCGCACACCACCATGCTCGGCTAATTTTTTTATTTTTATTTTTTATTTTTTGTAGAGATGAGATCTCACTATGTTATCTAGGCTGGTCTCAAACTCTTGGGCTCAAGCAATCCTCCTGCCATGGCCTGCCAACATGCTAGGATTGCAAGCATGAGCCACGGCACCCGGCCTAGGGCTTTATTTTAGTCTGGTCAGCTTGCCTCCATTGATGGGCCATTTCTGTATCCAAGGTTGTCAACTAAAAATCAGCCTCTTGGACACTCAAGCACGGCCCTCTGAGCAGACTGGACAGGAGACCGAGGGATCACTGCTTCTGGGATCTCCTGAAAGAAGCTTCCAGAACCCCCTTCTAGAGTCACACAGCCAGGGTGGTCTACACTACCTGTCACCCTCTGCTGTAACGCCTGCCCTGTCATTGTTACAACATTTTAGTGATCCAGCAGTTCCACTGTTAGGGGTTTATCCATTGATACCTTCAAAGACACGCCTGAGGGCGTTATTCCACCAGTGGCCATGTCTCAGTTGGGGGCACAGATATGAAATGGTTGGGACTTTTCAACAAATGTCACCAGCCATGACCTGACCAGCTCCTCATTCTTGCTGTGGGTGGGGCACCTTTGATGACCCTTGTGTCTGATGCTAGAACGGTCCAGCCACTTTTTGGTTATGTCTGCCTATGTGTTTGTTTGTTGTTTTGAGTCAGGGTCTCACTCTGTCTCCCAGGCTGGAGTACAGTGGTGCAATCATAGCTCACTGCTGTAACCTTGAACTCCTGGCCTCGAGGGATTCTTCCACCTCAACTTCCCAAGTAGCTGGGACTAGAAGTGTGCCCTACTCTGTCCGGCTAATTTTGTGATGTGTTGTAGAGACAAGATCTTACTCTATTGCCCAGGCTGATCTCAAACTTCCGGGTGCAAGCGATCCTCCCACCTTGGCCTCCCAACATGCTGGGATCACAGGCATGAGCCACCATGCCCAGCCTCCTGCTTATTTTAAAACATCAATCTCATAGGCAATTTCAAGCACCACCAGGCGCAGTGGCTCACACCTGTAATCCCATCACGTTGGAAGGCAGAAGTGAGAGGATTACTTGAGCTCAGGGGTTCAAGACCAGCCTGGGTAACTTGACGAGACCTTGTGTCTCCAATAAATAAAAATGTTAGCTGCGTGTGGTGGTGCACACCTGTAGTTCCAGCTACTTGGAAGGCTGAGGTGGAAGGATTGCCTGAGCTCAGCAGGTCGAGGCTGCCATGGCCGTGAGCGTGCCGCTGTACTCCAGCCTGAGTGACGAAATGAGACTCTGACTCAAAAAAAAAGAAAAGAAATTTCGAGGGTCCTCCTCCCGCCCGCAGTCCAGGAGGGGTCTGTGATGCCAGAGCAGGAAGAGGGGGGAGGGGAAGGAAAGGCTGCTCGCTCTCCCTCAGGACAGCAATTGCAGGATGGCCCAGGTGAGGTGGCCTCACGTTGGCTGGTGCCATGTGGTTGACTTGGTGCCAGCAGGCCCTGCGGCCGAGAGGCTCATGCCCAGGCAGCACTTACAGTCACGGGGCATAGGGGGCGCCTTGCCAGGCTCAGCTTCTTGTTTGGGCTGACCCCCACAGCAGCTGCCCTGGCAATCAAGCTGCCTCCAGCCTTGCCATCTTCCCCAAGCCCCCAACCCCGGGGCCTGTGGGCAAGGGCAGCATGTGACAGGAAAGGGGCCTGGAGTGCGTCCACCGTCCTTTCTGCCCGGCCACGGCCACACTGACAGGCCACCTCTTGCAGCACCGGCCACCCAACACCCTGTCGGGGGAGGGGGAGAGCCGGAGCGGGCCCCTCAGCGGCCCCCTCCCCAGATAGACAGGGCCAAACAAATCAAACATCCATCCGTCGGGGCCTGGTCAGCCACGTTGCGGAATATACGCGGCCACCAGCAAGGCGACGAGGATGAGGTGCCCTCTCTGTGCTGAGATGGTACAAGCGCCCAACAGGGCGGGTTCAGGGTGGGGGCTGGTGTGTACCAGACACCTGTGCTCCCATAGGCAGGGCACATTTTTGGAAGGCCGTACAGGGAGCTGTCACCACTGAGGAGTGGGACGGGAAAGGACACTAGGCTGGAGCCCTGATACCCTTCAGGGGGTCCTGTCAGGATTGTACTGTTTCAGTTTGTACCTCGAGCATATTTTGTATGCGATGAATGACTTATCTCTTTTTAAACATTGTTCTTATTATTTTTTGGAGAGGCAAGTTCTCGCTAGGTTGCCCAGGCTGGTCTCGGACTCCTAGGCTCAAGCGATCCTCCCACCTCAGCTTCCCCAAATGCTGGAATGACAGGCGTGAAACCGCACCTGACCTACCTACCTTTCTTTTTTTTTTTTTTTGAGTCGGAGTCTCACTCTGTCGCCCAGACTGGAGTGTAGTGGCCGCTCCCGGCCACCGCAGCCTGGACCTGCTGGGCTCCGGCGATCCTTCCGCCTCAGCCTTCCAAGTAGCCGGAATGACAGGCATGCGCTACCACGCCCGGCTGATTTTTTGTTTTATTGTAGAGATGAGGTCTCGCTGCCCAGGCGGGTCTCGAACCCGCGGGCTCAGGCAATCCACTCACCTCAGCCTCCCAAAGGCGCGGGATTCCAGGCTGAGCCACCGAGCCCGGCTATACCTACCTCTTCTTAAAAAAGAAGTAACAAGGAAGGGGAAGGGGCCCCCTTTCGAGTCCTCCCCCCCATTCAAGCTTCTCCCTTCCCCTCCTCCACTGTCATTGAGCAGTGGGTGGCTTTCTGCCTCTCTCCAGCCAAGTCGTGCGGGCTCATAAGTCTAGTTTCACGGGGACGGCAGAGCCTAACCCGAGCCCCCCGACATCCCGCGGTGAACCGTGTGACCCCAGGCTTTTGGCTTCCTGCAGATCACCAAGGCGTCGAGAAGGAGGCTGACGGTGAACCTGGCCTACTCGGAGAGCCACCAGCTCCGCGTGTCCCAGCAGGACTTCCGGCTCTTCCGCACGCTCTTCCTGCTCATGGTGTCCTTCTTCATCATGTGGAGCCCCATCATCATCACCATCCTCCTCATCCTGGTCCAGAACTTCCGGCAGGACCTGGTCATCTGGCCGTCCCTCTTCTTCTGGGTGGTGGCCTTCACGTTCGCCAACTCGGCTCTGAACCCCATCCTCTACAACATGGCGCTGCTGAGAAATGAGTGGAGGAAGATCTTCGCCTGCTTCTTGTTCACAGAGAAGGGGGTCGTGTTGACAGACACGTCCATCCGAAGAAATGACTTGTCCGTGATTTCCAGCTAATGTGTCTGTCTCTGTGGGTGGCACCTGTCCCTCTCTGGGGAGCCATGGCGCACGTTTAAAGGGCGTTCACTTCCAGGACCCTCCAGCCATGTGCCCTGATTTAGAAAATGTTACCTGTGCTGACACCCATTTACAGCGCCGGCCCACTAAGGGATAATCAAACGGGATCGTAGCGTTTTCCCTTCATAAAAAGACTTGTTTGATGAGTTCCTTTTTTTTTTTTGAGTTGGAGTCTCACTCTGTCGCCCGGACTGGAGTGGGGTGACACGCTCCCTCACCGCAGCCTCGACCTGCTGGGCTCTGGTGATCCTTCCGCCTGCGCCTTCCATGTAGCTGGAACTACAGACATGCACTACCAAGTCCAGCTGATTTTTTATTTCTTGTAGAGACGAGGGCTTGCCAAGTTGCCCGGGCGGATCTCGAACCTGCGGGCTCAGGCAATCCACTCGCTTCTGCCTCCCAAAGTGCTGGGATGACAGGCTGAGCCACCCAGCCCAGCCCGATGGGTTCCTTTTAAACATGAACTTTTTCGTGTGTTTGGAATAGGACTGAATTTAATAAATGCTTATTTATAACTGTCCAGCGATCGCATGTCCTACGTAGAAAGCCACACTTGACTGGCTTCCAAGGGAGTCTTGGAAGTGATTCTGAACCCAGATTTCTCTGAAGGGTCTCAGCCACTCCGGACCCTCCATCTCCCCGGGACGCGGACAGCCTTAGGCTCATGCATTCACATTTAGAGCAGTTGAGGAACTTCCAAGTAACAAGGAAAGGATTTTTTTTTTTTTTTTTGAGTTGGAGTGTCACTCTGTTGCCCAGATTGGAGTGCAGTGGCCGCTCCCGGCCACCACAGCCTCAACCTGCTGGGTTCCGATGATCCTTCCGCCTCAGCCTTCCAAGTAGCTGGAATTACAGGCATGCGCTACCACGCCTGGCTGATTTTTTGATTTATTGTAGAGATGAGGTCTCGCTGCCCAGGCGGGTCTCGAACCCGCGGGCTCAGGCAATCCACTCACCTCAGCCTCCCAAAGGCGCGGGATTACAGGCTGAGCCACTGAGCCCAGCTCAGGAAAGGATTTTTTTTTGAGTTGGAGTCTCACTCTGTCGCCCAGACTGGAGTGCTGTGGCCGCTCCCGACCACCGCAGCCTCGACCTGCTGGGCTCCGGCGATCCTCCCGCCTCAGCCTTCCAAGTAGCCGGAATTACAGGCGCGCGCTACCATGCCCGGTTGATTTTTTGATTTATTGTAGAGATGAGGGCTCGCCTGCCCAGGCGGGTCTCGAACCCACAGGCTCAGGCAATCCACTCACCTCAGCCTCCCAAAGGCGCGGGATGACAGGCTGAGCCACCGAGCCCGGCTAGGAAAGGATTTTTTAAAATAAAAAATGCCATGGCCCATCTTAGGCGAGGCAGTTTCATGAATTTCGAGAGAAGGCAGGAAGACTCTGAAATGTTTGAGAGTGAGTTCAGGAGTGAACCCCTGGTGGATCCATCCAGCCAAGGCCTAACGGGGCAGACAGTGTTCTTGGTGCTGGGAAGACAGCTGTGAGCCAGACGGCCATGGCCCTCTCCCCGGAAGTGTACCTTCTAGTCGGGGGCAGACACGCCCAACAGATGTCAATAAATAATGTGGCGTCGTAGAGTGAGGACCCAGAGGAGAACGGGACAGGGTTCTGGGGAGTGGGGGCATTTCAATAGAGTCGAGGGGGGGCCTGGGAAGATCCTTCTGTGGACGGACATTTGGGGCAAAAGGTGAGCTGCAAGAAAGAGCCACCCACGTGCACTTGGAGAAGGAGGATTTGCAGGCCAAAGAGGCACTGGGGGCTACAGGCCGGCTGGCTTGTGTGACAAACAGGAGCAGTGGAAGGTGAGCGGAGTGACCGTTGACGGAGGCTGCCCTGCACTGGCCACTAGCCTGGATGCCGTGGCGGGTCCAGATCACGTGGGACCTGGGAGTTTGTTGTGTGTTCGTGGGCGGCCCTGGGGGTTTGCAACTGAAGGCTGATGTGACCTGGTGAATGTACTCAAATGTTACTTTGGCCACTGTGTAGGGAATAGACCTTGGGGAGCAAGAATGAAAACAGAGGCTGGGGTGGTGGCTCGCACCTGTAATTCCAGCATTTTGGGAAGTGGAGGCGGGAGGATCGCTTGAGCCTAGGAGTCCAACACCAGACTGGGCAACATAGTGAGATCTCTTTTCTACAAAGAATCAACACATTACCTGGGGGTAGTGGCACACCCCTGTAGTCCCAGCTGTAAGTCATGATTGTGCAACTGCACTCCAGCCTGGGCAATAGAGTGAGACCCTGACTCCAAAAAGGAAAGAAAAGTAAAAAAGAAAATAGAGACCAGTTAGGCGGCGGCCAAGGCCGAACAAGGTGATGGGGACCCTGGAGGTGAGTGGCTTCTGGGAGGGATCGTGAGACAAGACTTAAGGACGGACTTCAGGAAGGTGGAGCCAAGAAGGTTTATTGATGGAATGGATGGGATTGATAGAATGTGAGGGAAACAGGGGATTTAAGGGTGAAGCCTAGATTGTTGGCCTGACCTTGGTTGAATGGTAGAACAGACCACGGAGACAGGGAAGCCGGTGGGGAGGTGGGGGTGGGAGAATTGAGAGTTTCACTCGGGTGGGTGAGTTTGAAATTGCGCGAGACTTCCGCAGACTAGACATGTGGGTGCGGGCATGCGGAGCCCGGGCCTGCAGACACGAGTCGTTTGCAGATCCAGATGGTGTTTACGGACCTGTGGCTTTATGAAAATTTCTCCGGGAGACCGTGGAGAGAAGAAACCAGAGCCAGAGATAAAGCCCAGGGGCTGGCCAGCACCGGGAGGCAGGCCCGCTGACTGAAACATGCAGCACACGGGGCCTGGCACATAGTAGGTGCTCAGCAAACCTTTGTTGCCGAGCAGATCGGCACCAGTCATTGCCACTGCTTGTGTGGTTGTCTGGATCTGCTCCTAAGTGAGATTCGTGGTGATCCCAAGCTCGAGGAGGAACAGGGGTCTTTTGTTCATTTTAGTTAGTGGATTTGGTCCATTAAAGCTGATTTTGAAGTGATGTGGCTACTTTATAGGTCTCTGAGGTTGTCAGCTTGACCGAGCGAGCCAGGCCCTGACAGCCTGTGGTTCCATCCCCGTGAAAGGTGGGGCCTTCCCTTGGTGGCCACCTGTCTCCTCTCTCTTTGGTAGAGAACACGGAGGTGGGGGACCAGGAGCCTCCCAGAACCCCAGAATATGCCAGCGCCTAGGAGGACCTGTGACCCCTCCCCACTCTCAATGTCTTTTGCAGACATCAGCCTGGCACTTGGTGAGTGTGCACAGCCTCTAAGCGCCCTTGGTGATGTTCCCTTGTGGAATCCTTACCACACCCCGCGGGCAGGACTGTTAGCCCATATCTCACAAGAGAAGAGTGAGGCTTGGAGGAGCCATGGAACGTCACAGTTAACCCACATCTGCGCTAGATTTCCACTTAAAACCGAAGCATTCTGGTACCAAAGCCTTGCTGCTTTTTCTTTTCTTTTCGAGAAAGTAGAATTTTTTAAGGGGATAGAAAAGCTACCACAGGCTGGGTGAGGGCGGGGGGGCACCGAGGAGATTGCCTGCTGCTTTTTCAAGATGAGAAACAGAGGCTCTTGGGAACCCCTGGGAAACTGAGGCAAGTGGCTTCGCATGCGGACCCATGGTCAAGGACACAGGTGCAGTCTCACTACCTCCACACTCCCCCCCGTCCAGTCCCTCTTTATACTCCAGGCAGGGGACGATTTTGTCTTCTACAGACCCAGCTTCCAGGGACCCCTCTCCCAACTGCCCCAGGGAAGCCAGAGGCCGCCCTCAGACCCTCAACATCTGGGCTACACCTAAAATAAGAAGTGAATTGCGTGCTGGAGGCAGTGAAGGACTGGGGGTGTTTCCTATAGGTCACCTTGACCGTAACTCGCAGCCTCTTGAATCTGGGGGTGGGGGCTTGTCCTGCCCACTTCACAGGCCTGGGGCTGACAGAGGCTTTGGGGTCTCTGGCCTGGCCTATACTCACTCCCTTGTCTGGCCTCAGTGCTCTGGTCAGGTGGGTCGCCAAGGCCCTTCTGGGTTAAAGAGGAAAGCTCTTTTCAGGAAGTTGGGAGAAGTCAGCCTTTAATGACGGATGGAGACCAGGTACTCGAACTGGTCAAAGTTCAGAAAGAGCCGCGCCCTCCTGGCGTAGAAACGTGCAACCGCCCAGGCATCTACAGGATTTCTCACTTGGACGGAGATGCGAGCACAAATAAAAACTCAAATCGTAGGGAGGGATGGCTATATTTTAATGAATCAAAATCTGGAATCCTAAGCCTCAAATGATCCCTCAGGAAACTTCAGGATAGACATTTGACCGCAGAGTCACGGATTCCCCCGTAGATTTGTGCGTGTACTGAAGGGTCTATGTGAACTCAGAGAAGGTGAGGAGAGAGGGCAGATTACAGATAAATAGAGTTGAAGACTGAGTGAGAGCGAATCAGAATCTTCCAGATGAAACTTGGCGTCTCTGATGTCGCTACAAAAGGTTCCCTTCTGACTTGCCATCGCAGTAACCTGGAACACAGAAAACAGAGCCATGGGCGACATAAAGACGACCCCGAGCTTATATAGAGAAGAGGCCAGGATGAGAGGGTGGCTTGAGCCCACGGGTTCGAGACCAGCCTTGGCAACTTGGTGAGACCTTGTCTCTACAATAAATCACAAAAACTAGCCGGGCATGGTGGTGTGCTTCTGCAGTTCCAGCTACTTAGAAGGCTGAGGAAGGGTTGCCTGAGCCCAGTGGGTTGATGCTGGGTTGGCCATGAGCATGCCACTGCACTCCAGCCTGGCCAATGGAGTAAGACTCCAATTAAAAAAAAAAAAAAGAGTCAGGATCTCACTCTGTCACCCAGGCTGGAGTGCGGTGGCGTGATCATAGCTCACTGCAGCCTTGAATTCCTGAGCTCAAGGGATCCTTCCCCTGCAGCCTCCTGCGTAGCTAGGACCACAGGCATGCACCACCACACGCAGATAATTTTTAAAACTTTTTGTAGAGACAGGGTCTTGCTATATTGTCCAGGCTGCTTTCAGACCCCTGGCCTCAAACAATCTTCCTGCCTCGACCTCCCAAAGTGCTCAGATTACAGAAGTGAACCAACAGCCAAACACTTCTTTATTCAAATACATCACAGCAGATCACAACCCTTGAAAAACTAGATGTGGCTAGAATTCCTAAACACCCTCGAGGTTGCCTCTGGAACCCCTTTGAATTTCCCTGGGGGCCATGGGGGCCTGACAGATTAGGATCTGCTGTAGGACATAGCTCTTTCTTACTTCAAGGTGTTAGGGGCTCATCCTTCGATTTCAAGGAGAGAGGTCCACGTCAGCCTGTCCTCAGCCACACTGTTGGTGGTTTTATTACGTGTTTGCCACGACCAGATGCAATGGCTCATGCCTGTAATCCCAGCACTTTGGGAGACAAAGGAGGGAGGACTGCTGAAGCCCAGGAGTTCGAGACCAGCCTGGGAAACATCGCAAGACCACTTCTCTCTCTCTCTCTCTCTCTCTCTCTCAAAAAAAAAAAAAGTTTCCCATGTCTCATGTCATGTGTTACCAGGTGGCACCACGGACTCTTCAGAGTCACAATAGTTGGAGGTTGGCCTCCAACTCAACTACCTAATGGAGGTCTGGGGCAACTTTCTTGATCTTTGTCAGCCTCCATTTTCTCCTCTGTGTGATGTGGATAATAAGAGTGTCTACTTCAGCTGGGAGTGGTGGCTCACATCGTAATCCCAGCACTTTGGGAGGCTGAGGTGAAAGGACTGCCTGAAGCCAGTATCCGAGACCAGCCTGGGCAACATAGTGAGACCCTGTCTTTATAAAAAACAAGAGTATCTCTTCATAAGGTGTTCCTGAGGGTTGAGTGAGACACTGCTGGTTAAGGACTGGGCGCGGGCGAAATCCCCAGGGAGAAGCTTCCACCACTTAGTTAAGATGTTGGTCTGAGTTCATGTGTTTGGTGGAACGAGTCCATTAGTGACCAACAGGAATGCTCAGTTTTGCCCTGTTTTTTGGTACATGTTAGTGTTACCCTGGATTTTGAAACCCCGCTTCTGAGAACGAGTGAGCATCCATTCAGCTAGACAGCAGTTGTTCCCACAGTGTTCCTGGGTTTTAAGTCAAGATCAGACTCAGGCAATAGCTATAAAAAGATCCTACAGCTGTCCTAAGGAATCAAGGTTCCAAATGAGGGCATCCAGTTAGTCAATATAATGGGTACTTGGTTCCGTCTAGAAAAAGGCGCGTTTCTGGAAATCATTCTCTTCTGAGCTTGTGATGCGGCTGCCTCTGTTGAGTTTTTACATCAGTGGCCACAGGAACTGCCCGCCTCTTTTTACTAGACTGTTCAATCCCCAATAATTCGGTCCAAATAACTTTTCAGGCCAGTGTAGCCAGATGTGACCACAGAGGTGGCCTTAGGTAGCAGAGTATAAGGAAAAGTGTCCATTGCATTTTCACTTAAAAGTGCCAAGGCCAGGTGTGGTGGCTCACGCCTATAATCCCAGCACTTTGGGAGGCAGAGGCGGGAGGATGGCTTGAGCCCAGGAGTTTGAGATCAGGCTGGGCAACATAGCAAGACCCTGTCGCTACAAAATTTTTTTTTTAAATTAGCCAGGCGTAGCAGTGCACACCTGTAGTCCCAGCTACTTGGGCGGCTGAGGCAGAAGGATCATCTCGCCTGAGCCCAGGAGATGGAGGTTGTGGTGAGCCATGATTGCACCACTGCACTCAGGCCTGGGTGACAGGGTGAGACTCCGACTCAAAAAAAAAGAAAAAAGTGCCAGGATTTTGGACCAAGCCCCCTCCCCCCGCCCACTCCTGCATCTGCCCCATGACAAGGGCGGCGAAAGACCTTTCGAGAAGGATCAGAACTTGGCCTCAGCACGGGGCTCCTAAGACCCCGTCTTCTCGCGAGTGCAGAGGATGTGCGTTTCACGGGCTCGTGGGCCCCAACTCACCATTGTGGACGATCAGCCGGTACTGCCTGGCCAGGCACAGCTCCTCCTGCCGCTGCCTGACCACCCGCTGCACGTCGAGAGGCAGGCCGTGGGGGTCGCGGGAAAACACGAAGGAGTAGCTGTCAGCACAGGTGCCGTCCAGGTTCAGGAGGCGGCAGGAGTACTGCACGGCGTACGTGTTGTAGTCCGTGTCGATGATCCAGTGGTCATCGTCTGCAAGCCAGAAAAAGCCACGGTGTCAGTCGAGGGGTTCCCCCAGCCTCTGGCGGGCTCCAGTGTGGGGAGACTCGCCACTGAGAACCAGCCGCTTCCAGGAACGAGTTCCATTTCATAGGAAGCAGGAGACAGTGGAGAATTCTGAGAGCTTTTGTACAATCGGGTAAATCAGAAAGGACCTTGGCCGGGCACGGTGGGTCTCGCTTGTAATCCCAGCACCTTGGGAGGCCGGGAGATCAAGGCCAGCCTGGGCGACATAGTGAGACCCCATCTCTACCAAAACAAGAACAAAAAAGAAATTTGTTCTCCTTTATAGAAAAAAGGCCTGGAGTTGGCAGGGGGGAACTTCGCTCCAACAATTCTCTCTCGTCCTGATGGTCAGTGTGACACCGAGAATATGGGCCCGTCAAAGCCACAGAATCAGCCTGTCTGCTGTTGTCATCCAGCCTCTTCGTGCCCGTGTCTTTTGTGGCTCATGTCTGAGGACCACCGACTTCTGCCAACCCACCATCAGGATGTGTCTTTCTCTGTAAGCTGGTCCCCACTCATCTCAATGACCAGGCTGTGGAAGCCACTTCATGGTCACGACCTTTCTGACTTCTTCCTAGTTCCTGCCTAGTAACTCTACTGACTTCTCTGAGCCAGCAAGAGAGTAGAGTGTTTTTTGTTGGTTTTTTTTTGCCCCAGGGGCATAAGCTGCCCCCCATCTGGCCTCAGATATTCCTCTACAGCTTGCATTCTGCACACATCCCCAGGAGAGGCAGAGCTGAGCCTTGGGGAGCTTAGGCAGCATGTCTTCCTCAAGGCTGAGCTGTGAGTCATGAAGGGAAAGAGTAGAGGAAGGTGGTAAAAATATCCACAAAGGCAGGAGGGAAATAACGTTCCTAAGTGGGCAGGCATGGTGACTCACGCCTGTAATCCTAGCAATTTGGGAGGCTGAGGCCGGAGGACCGCTTGAGCCCAAGAGTTTGAGACCAACCTGGGCCACATAGCAAGACCTCATCTCTACAAAAATAATTTTAAAAAAGATTAGCTGGGAGTGGCGGTGCATTCTTGTAGTCTCGGTGGTTAGGGAGGCTGAGGCGGAAGGATCACCTGAGCCTGGGAGGTCGAGGCTGTGGTGAGACACGATGGTGCCACTACACTCCAGCTTGGGCGACAGAGTAAGACTTTGATTCAGAAAAAAGAATGGATGTGGATGATTTGCCACAGAGAATGAACATTCAGATTAAAGTGCCCGTCTCTCCCTAATTTAGCCTTCTTGGTAGCCTATAGCCTTGGCTGGGGCTGTCTGGGCACCGAATTCCACGCCAGTCACTACATGAACACGTTTTATACATTTTCTCGGTTATCACTCACATCAACTCATAAGTACACACTATTCTTCCCATTTTACAGATGGGGAAACTGGGGCACAGAGAACCAAAATAATTCCCCTAGGATCACAAAGAGCAGGGGAGAACAGGGATTCGAGCAAGGACTGGAACTCCAGAGCCCATGAACTTAACCTCCAGGCCACACGGTCTCCAGGCAGTAAGCACATTGCAGGGAGAGAGACCGTGACACAAAAGGCATCTCCATCTCACACCAGGGTCTTGGAGCAAGGGATAATCTGCCTCTGTGATGCCCCAGCTGGAGGAACGCGGAGGGGCTCGATGACCCGGGACAAGAGGGGACAAGGCGCCATCTGTTACTCTCGCCCTAAGTCACCCTGGATGTGTCCCTCTGAGAACGGCCCTAGAATGGGGTTCAGCCCACACCTAGGCCCTGCAGGAGGGTGGTCATGGGAGCAGGGGTGGGGTCCTTTTCTCTGGCTGTCCCCTGGAGGAAGAATGAGCCACCCCTGTGCCTCCCAGGCTGTCCCAGGGTGACAGGGTCAGAGGTGGAGCTGAGGGGATGCCCCAGACCCATGACCGCCCAGCAGTGACCACCAAGTTATTCAGCAGAAAGGCCAGGAATAGAAGCCACGGACTGTCTACTGGGCCTCACCCTAACCACGCTGCCCTCACGGTCTCCAAGCATCGGCCCTGATGAGGTCATTTCTTCCTGGTTCTGGGGCTCACGGGCCCCCCACGAGCCCAGGCCTCAGATCCAAAAACACTCTCCTGTAAAGTGTTACTGCGACTCATAACCCAGACAGCTATTAGCTTGGCAAATCTGCCTTTTTTTTTTTCCAGAACTGTTGCCAGAATGTGAACTCTGACATAGAAACTGAGTAGCCTTCCATGCTTGGATTGAGTACAATTGGCTACTGTTCTAGACTTTAAAAGAAGGCCGACATTGGCTTGGTGACTCTCCAGGCTCTTTTTGGCTGAAGAGTTCAAAGGCGAATGATTTAAATGCCAGCCACCTTGAACAGACTCTCCCTTCGAAGAGTATTTGCAAAAGAAGAGTTGCCAGTAAGCTCGCTCCTCCAGCCTCCTCGCTTCTGGCAGCTGGGCAGGGTTTCTTTCAAGAACCAGATGCCCCCTTACCCCCGATTGCGCTAGGGAGAAAGCCCCGCCTCCCTCCACCCTCCCAGGAGGTGGGCTTATACTGCAGCTGTGTCTACACTGCACCCACACACACTGATTTAGAAATTTAGACGGCCAGTCCATAACCCAAAGAAAGCACTTAGAAGAAGGAGCTGTCTCTGGCGACCTGGTTCCATCCATCTGTCGTTCACTGCTGTGGGCCCAGAGCGCACACCTTCAGCTTCTTAGCCCTGTGTCCTCTAGTCATCTAGACAAGACCAAGTGGGACACTCCCTATCAGGCCTTATGGTCCAGCTGAGACAGCCAGGTCGGAGATTTCATGCTATTTCTGTCTCATTGTCAAAGTAACCCAAGAGGCCAGGTGCAGTGGCTCACATCTGTAAACCTGGCTCTTTGGGAGGTTGAGGTGGGAGGTTAGCTTGAGCCCAGGAGTTCGAGACTAGCCTGGGCCACATGGAGAGACCTCATCTCAACTCCCGCCCCCAAAACCTAATAGGTCCCAGTATGGTAAGTGGAGCCTGGAGCCTTGACACCTGAGTAAGCCAAGAGGACTCACCGGATAGAGTTCTCTAGACCTCATTGTGCAGAAGAAACATACCCAAGGAGCATACTTAAAGCACAATCTCCAGGGCCCCGCCCCTAGAGTTTCTCATTCAGTAACTCTGGGTTTGGGCCCAGAAATCTGCATTTTTTTTAGAAAGTATAATTTATTTTTTAATTTTTTTCACTTTTTGAGTTGGAGTCTCACTTCATCACCCAGGCTGGAGTGCAGTGGCATGCTCACGACCACCCCAGCGTCGACCTGCTGGGCTCTGGTGATCCTTCCGCCTCAGCCTTCCAAGTAACCAGAACTACAGGCGTGTGCTACCAGGCCTGGCTAATATTTTTTATTTATTGTAGAGAAGAGGTCTCACCAAGTTGCCCAGGCTGGTCCCGAACTCAGGGCTCAGGCAATCCTCTCAGCCTCCCAAAGTGCTGGGATTACAGGCTTGAGCCACCGTACCCGGCGAAAGTATGATTTACTAAGAAGACAGAAAAGTTCCCACAGCAGGAGGGGACCTGAAAGAGGTTGCCTGAAATCTGCATTTTTAACAAGCACCTCAGCTGATTTGATATAGGTGGTCCAGAAACCCTAACTTTGAGAAACACCGATGTAGACTTTTAAGCCCTCACTGTTATTCAGCCTGACAAAGCTCCTTAACCCGCAGAGGGGCAGACTTTTTCCAGGGAAAAGAACAAAAGGAAGTCTTTGTCCATGTCTCTCTAAGAGGGCCCAAGACAAGGATGCTCAGAGCCAATATTTCCTGAGCAATTGCTATCTATCCGGCTAAGCCTTTTCACGCATTGCGTTAATTCATCCTTCCAACAAGCCTAGGATACAGGGACTATTCTGTATCCCTGTTTCGCAGCGAAGGAAACAAGACCTGCCGACGGCAGCGTCCTTAGCCCCTCTTGGTGCTGGTGGAGACAGGAGAGGAGGAAGCCAGGACTGAGCATGCCCAAGGCTGGGGCAGTACGGCACGTCAGCCTGTGAACACTGACATTTAGGGTTCAATGGGAGAGACTGGTTACATCCGATTGGTAAATAATTTGACAACAAGCTTAACAAGTTATTTTCTCTCCCTAAGCGTACCCCATTTTAAACACCTCCGTCTGAGGGTGTGAGGAGCAGGGGGAAGACTGAGAATGCGGATCACTCTCAGAGTACCCGTCAAACCCTCCTGTCCATGTCAGTGTTAAAAGCAAGGCCAGGGTCAAGGAAGAAAGAAATTGGCAGGAGGAATGAAAGCGGGCTTTGCGAGAGGACTCTGAAATAAGCATTTCAGACAGAGGAAAGTAGATCCCTCAGACCTTCCAGTCTGTGAGACACTCAGAAACCAGAGGGATAGGCCCTGGGTTAAGAGATGTCACTAGCTGGGCTCGGTGGCTCAGCCTGTCGTCCCAGCACTTTGGGAGGCCGAGGCGAGTGGACTGCCTGAGGCTGGGGGTTCGAGACTAGCCCAGGGAGCTTGGCAAGACCTCGCCTCTACTATAAATAAGAAAAATTAGCTGGGCCTGGTAGTGTGTGCCTGTAGTTCCAGCTACTTGGAAGGCTGAGGTGGAAGGATCGCTGGAGCCCAGCAGGTCGAGGCTGGGGTGGCTGCGAGTATGCCACTACACTCCAGTCTGGGCAACACAGTAAGACTCTGACTCAAAAAAAAAAAAAGATGTCACTAAGTGCAACTCATCGGCTATGTGTCCCGAGGCCAGTCACTTCTCTAGTATGGGCCTCAGTTTCTTGTAAAATGAGGGACAGTGGTCTCTGTGGCTTCTCCCATCCCAGACCCAGAGCACAAAGCTATGATTTTGTGACCAGGGCGATCGCTAAGCCCCAGTAATGTCAGACTGACGGAGGAATGTCTCAGGCACTGTCCTGAGAGCTCTCTGAAGTTAACTCACGGCCTCTCATAACACAACTCCATGAGGTAGGTGTGATAGTCATCTTATTTTGTAGATGAGGAAACTAAAGCCCAGAGATGCTAAGGAACATTTCCAAGGTCCCACAAGCAGTGGTTGAGTTGGGATTTCGACTCAGGCAATCTGATTTTAATTGGGCATGCTTAGTCACTACACAGCCTCACTTCTTTCTTGAAATGTGACCTGACAAGGAATGTAACCTTCCACCTTCCATATGATGGTTAATCCTGCTTAATAGCTGTAGCAATAACCTTCAAAATTTCAATACCTTTTCTGCCTCCAAATGAGATCCTAGATAAAAATCCCAAAATACAAGAGGCAAAGCAGAGGTAATCTGGTTTGGGAGACAGAGGAAGAGGCAAGAGACATAATCCTCACTGGGTCCTCCCTGACCGGTCCCTGAAGGCATTGCCAAGTACCAATCCTTTAAGAAGCATATTTCAAAAGGTTGTAGAAGCCTGGTGTGGTGACTTACACCTGTAATCCCAGTACTTCAGGAGGCTGAAGCAGGAGGATTGCTTGAACCCAGGAGTTTGAAACCAGCCTGGGCCACATAGCGAGACCTTGACTCTACAAAAAACCCCACAAAATTAAAAAATTAGCCAGGTGTGGTGGCGCGTGTCTGTAGTCCCAGCTACTCAGGACACTGAGGTGGAAGGATCACCTCAACCCAGGAGCTTGAGGCTGCAGTGAGCTGTGGTGTTCCAGTGCACTCCAGCTTGGTGACAGAATGTGACCCTGACTCAAAAAAACAAAAAACAAAACAAAAACTGTAAAACACGATGTGTTTGTTCTTTCTAAAAATTAATAATCTTATATCGCTTATATTGCTTTTTGTAATCCATTACCAGAAAAATACATATTTTACTCTAAATGAACCACTTTGGGAAGTTTGGCTATACTACTTGAAATGACTTTCATTGCTTCTAACGAAAAAAATCTCCCGTCCCTTGGCAGTATAGGAACGCCATCTGCACAGTGTACATCCAAACTGAAAATGCAACTTGAGTTAGAAAACTGCAATCTCACCCAACCAACCCTTCAGAGGGAGTCGAGGAGTGTATGCCATGTGTGGAGAGCAACAGGTCGCTTGAAGGACACTTTTGTCCTGGGTCACCAAGCCTAGGGAGTCCTCCTGGGTCCTATCTCACAGGAGAGCTCAAACAATACTTGCGTAAGTCGGTCTGTGATAGGCCTCCCGGCAGTTCAGGGCCACCTGATCCCGGCCTGGGGTGTGGGAACCCTGGCTTCTGACATTGGCTCTCACAAACCTGTTGCATGGCTTTGGGCAAAGTTCTCTTGGTCTCAGTTTACTCATCTGTCTGTTGAACCCCTTTTTGTAGGACTGACTCTCTGACTCCCTAAGCTGCCATGATGTGCCCTTTCCCCCCATTATTCTCCAGTGACCTATTCCACTCCAAATCTGGAACTTCAGAGAAATATGGAGGAAAGGTAGAAAAAAACATGTAGACACCTGTATTCCCATAGTTAGGGTCAAGTGTGACGTGTTCTTCTAAGTGTCCTCAACACCCCACCTCCAAAGTCTGAATTTTGGTGCTTGGGGGAAAGGGAAGAGGCTCCTGCCACGCGGAACACTATGCCTGGTTCGAATCTCAGCATCGGAACGCCGGGCACAGGGTGGAAGCCGACTCTGTGAACGCGGCTCCCTCTGTCCCTGGAATTGGATGGGGTTCCTTAGTCTGCTGCCGCCCAGGCAGGCAAGCCACTCAGGGACTCAGTCGCCAAGACGGCCATGCCAAGCCACGTGGAGTGGCGGCCTGGAGGCAGGAGGGAAAGCAGGCGAAGGTGGCACATCCTGGCACAGTGACTGAGGGGAAAATGGCCCCTGCCAAGTCCGGAGGCCCCTTTGCGCCTAGGTCAGGCTTCTAGAGCTGGGAGGAGAGACGTGGCTCCTCTCATCTCATCCCCTCCCCAGGGGATGCTGAGGGCTCCTGCCTGGTCACTTGAAGGACACTTTTGTCCTGGGTCACCAAGCCCAGGGAGTCCTCCTGGGTCCTATCTCACAGGACCCTTTCCCAAGGGTGACGCTAGAGAGGAAGCCCAACCGTCCGTCAAGGCCTGGTCCCCGTTCCCAAGACAGCCGCGCTACTCACTTCCTTTCTGGAGGAAGGAGGCGACGCCCCAGTATTTCATCTTGAACTTGGCGGGGTCCTCGGTGTCTGTGAAGGTGCCCACCATGTCTGCACACACGTCCCAGTTACTGCAAAACGCCGAGAGACGCTGAGCCGAGCCTGGTAAAGGGCTTGCTTCCACCCCCCGCCCGGGGGTCCCCTTCCCTCCCCGGCCGGCCCGCGGGGCCCTGGGGACCCCGGAGCGCAGGGCG